AGGTCTTGCTGCGGAGGTTGCAAAAATGCGATTGAAAAATGCACTTGTCTGCGCGCGGCGCATTCTTTTTACGAAAAAATGCGTTTGTCCGGGCGCGGCGCATTTTTTGTGCGAAAAAGTGCGATTGGGATTGTCAATCGTATTTTTATTCAAAAAAATGCGTTTGGGCTGCCCAATCTGCGTTTGGGCTGCGCAATCGCAAAAAAAAAATGCGTTTGGGCTGTACAATCGCAAAAAAAAATGCGTTTGGACTGCGCAATCGCCAAAAGAAATGCGTTTGAGCTGCACACTTGTAAAGAGCCCAGGCGCCTTTTGTCGGCGGTGCATTTCAGTCGTAATTTTTGCAGCAAGCAATCGCATTTTAATTGCATTGCATTTTTGGATCACATTTTTTGACATTAGCAATCGCATTTTTTTCAACATTGCATTTTCAATCGCATTTTTAACATCTAGCAATCGCATTTTTCAGAACATCGCATTTTCGATCGCATTTTCTTACTCTAGCAATCACATTTTTTCAATCAACGCATTTTCAATCGCATTTTTTGGCAGCCACTTGGTGTAAAAATAATTGTTTCCATGGCCTTCAGGCTCTACCTACTTAGGCGATCTCAACGATCGAGTCTGTGAAGACTTTCATCCCTGGTGGCTTGCAAACGGGAGAGGTCAGGGTTTGGCAGGTCTTGGTCGTGCGCACACATAGGTCAGAGAACCCGAAGCTTGCCCTCACAATGGCAGTTTTTCGAGGAGCTCTTTTCCGAAAGAAGACTGCAAAGAGGCAAGCCTTTGTGTCAACGTGCCGTGGTGCCAAGCAATTTCCATGGCTTTGTTGAAGAGTGCACGTTCGTGCCCGTTCGTGCATGTTGCCTTTGTTACCTTTGCTTGTCATTTGTGATCTGTTTTCGTTTTGAGGGCTGGCTGGCAGTTGATACCATACAAGTTCATATGCAATTTGAAGTTGAAGCCACTCTCAGGGTGGCCACAGAAAGCTGCAACATCATGATGCGAGACCTTTTTTCGCTCTTGGACCATCATGTGCGGTCATGCGTGGTGCGGCTTCCGTGTTTCAAACTCAGGGATCGGAAAAAGTCATCGGACAGACTTCGCATCGTTTTCGGTGTGACGCATCGAAGCACGGTGGGCCCGCGCCCGCCCACACCTTTGCCAGAAAAGGCTTCGAGCTGCATTTCTATTTCGTTGGGTTCTCTTGCGTTTCCGCCTTAAAGGTCATTTTTTTGAGAGCATTGTCCTTTTTTGGGGTTGCCTTATGAGAAATGGGGTCGATTGGGGGCGAGCTTCGGACACGCAAGCTTCCAAAACCTGAACGCGTCGCAAATGGTCCCAAGCATTGGATGGACGCTTGAGAACACGTCGGGCATCAAGGGTTTTCATAGGAAAAAGGACCTTAACTTGACACGCTAGTTTTTCCACTCAAACTTTTCTATGAAAATCTGACCCCCCAAGTTGCCCCAGTCCCTTTTGGGCCCTCCAAACATTGAATTTTTAGGTGTAAACAGGGATTTGGCAGCTTTTCAGGCCAAGGCTCTTTTGCTTTGGCAAGCGGACCGGAGTTGCCTGATCATGCTAGCCTTCTCATTGTTTTTGACCATGCTGCGCGTGTCGTGGGGGCTGTAGCGGGCCTTGGGCATTCTCTGGATGTTGTTGAGCCAGCTGAGTGGCTCTCGCAAGGATCACTTCCGTGGAGTTGGATGCGGAGCTGTGCACGCGGCTGCACGTTTTGTTGCTCACTCACGCCTCGTTTGCCAGTGACGAATGGGCTGCTTCGCTTCGACGCATCTTGCGCCACCTATCCTGTGGTTCTTGACCCCATCGTGAAGAGGGAGTGGTGCCAGGGGAGTTGAACAGGGATTTCCTGCAATGCAAGGAGTTAAGCTTGATAAGTTTCTTGGAACATTTGCACCGCATTTGATTGTGTGTTTTTTTGGTGAGTCTGATACCAAAAATCAGGGCCGATCGAAGACAGGTGTCGAGTCAAATGGCGGTGCGTTGCAGCAAGTGTGGAGGACAGACCATCCATCTGATTGTATCCAACCCTGCGGCAGCCCCAATCGCCTCGAATCGATTGAATCACGCCGTCGATCCTCAGGCTGCGCATCTAGGTGAAAGCGGAGACCTTCGAGCTGGTCATTGAGATGCGGTCTGCTTGCATTCCGCCAGTCGCAGTGAGGGAAGCACCGGGCGCCGGAAAGACTATAATTTTCACGCCTGACTCATTCACAAATTCGGCCAAAGGGCGGGCCAACATCCAGACGTTTGTGGAAGAGCTGCGAAGATTGCATGTGAGGGCTCATGGAAGAGATGTGGTCGATGGGAATGGTTCCTTGCTGAAGTCTGTTGTGTCTTCAGGGCCCCATCTTTTCTTCTTTCTGCTTGGAGTGCTGACAAGCACAAATTCAGCGGCGCCTTTCCTCAATATGTAACGAAGAGATTGGGAGAGTGTGTGCCCCAGGCGTTTGGGGCTGGGGGCGGGAAAAGCAAGAACACTCGCGAGTTGTACAATCTCTTCAGGGAAATTGACAAGGCGGGCGCTCCAAATTTAGAGATTTCTTCGTGAGCCGCATGGATCCAGGGTGGGGGATGATTAGAGTATGGAACTATGGGCTTCCTGTGGACTGCGGGTTCACTCAGCGGTAGATAGGAAATCCATGGAAATCCTTTGTTATTTGCACTTGCGACCTAAATTCAAAGGCTTTTATAGAGGTGGAGGTGGAGACCGTGCCGGCTTGGCCGCTTTCACTTAGCGCAGGGGGCACGAGCCCCCCAAGTTGCCCTTGCCTTCCGTTGGTCGCCGACTGCGTTGGAAAGTGTTCGAGCTGACATTTGCTCTTTATGTTTGCTTTTGTCGTGAGATTCGTGTCGCGGCGCGACCAATGAAAGGCAGCGGCTGGACACTGAAGCAGGATGCTTCGAATGAAGCTGATTTGTACTTGCAGGGGGGGTCCAATTCTTTTGGTCGCATGGAAATGTACTTTCAGGGTCCCCCTCCCCCCACCTCACAATAGCCCCTCGTTCTTATTAATGGCAACAGCATTTATGGGTTATGTCTTACCTTTAGAAAAGTCATTTATATTCAATCATTTAAGGTAGGCAGGGTCGGTGATGATGAATTATTTGGGAAGCTTCGAATCAACGTCTCCCAATGTTTGAATGCTCAAGCCAAACTGGGGAGACGCCCCTTGAGGAGCAGTGTCGCTGCTGGTACCTCAAGCTAAACTTTTTCTCCCACCCTGCCACACCCTGTTAGTTACTTTCATGTCCACCTGGTGCTAGTCGAGCTGGTGGCTGACTTGGCTTGTTGCCGGAAGAGTCTGGTTACCTGGTGACAGTCGCTTCACCTGTGGCCTTGCTGGTGCTTGATGGCCGTATTCCGGGTTACTTTCAGTTACCACGGCTATGCTTGTGACGCTTGCAGCCTGGGCTGTCGGCCACATGAGATGGGGACTGTGCTGTCTGCCGCTGTCGTCCGGTTGTCCTTTTCCGGCTGCCCGCCGCCTAGCCATCATACCTGTTCTGTCGGTCCCAGGTATTGACGATGACTAGGGAGTTTCATTTAATCTTTTCATCGCTCTGTCCAGAGCTGGCATCCGTTGTGGCCGTAGGACCGCCCCTGCAGTATCCTCTCGGTCACTACATACGGATGGAGTGCTCCCACAGGGAGAGTGTCAGATGTCAGATGACACAAGCGACGTGGGTCGCATTTCGAACCAAAGCACTTTAGTACAGACAGTACAGACCTGAATCGATTCGCAGAAAAGGGTAGCAGCAGTCGACATATGTTGAGCGAGATTCATCGAATATTATTAAGGAAATTCGAAGCCCTTTTTTGAAGGGCCTAGAGTCACCAATAAAGAAAAGACAGCCGCGAGCACGAAAAATAAAGAAACGGTGCATGATCCATAAAATATAAAGAACTAGTCATTGACCGCCCAGTTAATATAAAAGAAAAATGGGCTCATTGAATTATAGAAAAGAATGAAAGAAAGTGAATGATCCTTTATTTTAATGGAGAATAAAATAAAGGGAATGAACGAATAATGAAAGATACGGCAGTTAATGGATTTTACAGACAACCAACCGTCCATTACAAAGAATTATTGACCATTAACTGCCAAGGAACAAATCATCCAAGAAGCATTCTATCTTTCATGGTATTTTCTAGAACTATAAAGATAGAATGCCCACCATTATTTATTTTTATTTGGTGGTTCTTGGATGATGCCCATGATTTTTTTCTTTTCATTCTTTAAAATTCATGGTATCCTTTAATCTACTTCTTTAATCTATAATCATGAGGACATTATTTTTTAAATATTCATGCCCGGTCAATTGCTAGGCTAGTATATTACTATTGGTTGACCATTAATTTATTGACGGCAGCCTTTTTGTTTGGTAATGAATAATGCTTGTGGAGGAAATCAATGGTCAACATGTTCAATGGTTTTTATATTTTACATGGGAAATTTTCTATAAGATAAAAACAATCCAAAACAAAAAACTAGCCGATAGCCCCACCAATTACAGTAATATAAATTAAAATTGGTGGTCAAGAGTTTTTTGAAATAATTTGTACTTCCTGGCGGCAAAAAATAAGTAACTCTATTTTTGGGGATCGAGGGTGACGGGATGGATCACCTACAGAAAAGACAACTCTCACATACAAGCAAGAAATTTGTCTGAAAACGGTGTTTTTTTTTTGGGGGGGGGGGTAGCATATATATATATATACAGATTGCACTGCTACATAGGTGCACGTATCTATATATATATATTTAAATATACATATATGTACTTATGTATTGTGTTTGTGGAGACACTCAGGCACTTCTATCATTTGGGTTTCTATTCAATCGTTATTGCTGAACATTGCCTACACACGCACACATTTTTGAGAAGTTTAGATTTTGCTGCATGTATTTTAGCTCAACTTTCTCGGACTGGGTAACTTTTGGTCAGGTTGTACAGCCATGTGCACCTGCTAGGCAGACAAAGATCTGGAGACGACCCTGGAGTTGTACGCTTCCACTCGCGAGGAGCTCAAACGCGCCATTCAAGACGAGGCCATTCGGGTTCATTGATGTTCCATCCTGATCCTGGGGAGTTCCGAAAAGCAGCTTTTGGGCTCTTTTCCCCGTCCGCTTTCGGCAGATTGCCAACGTTGTCTTCTCAGAGATCTCTATCTCTCTCTCTCTCTCTATCAACAAACATGTAAAATCAAATATGTCAAAGCCCATGGGTCAAAAGAACTTTTTGGCACCTACTACTGGGTCCCACGCCCAGTGTCGTTTTTTTTTTGGTTCCCCGATTCACTCGTGTAGAAGCGCAGGTGCAGCGCCAGAAGGAGGAGGAGCAGACCTTCGCGGCGGAGCTGCAGAGTCTGAAAGAGTGGCTTCGTCCCAGCGAGAAGCGATCAAGCCCCCGAAGAAGCGAAGAAGTCGATGTTCTCCAAAGGCAATGGAATATAGAACGTTATATGATGTTTAACTATATATGCAATATATTTTTGATTGTAGTATTTTCATGCTTCTCACATGTGTTTATGTGTTCAACCAAAGGGCATAAATATGGGGCGGTTGGCAATGGCCATTTTCAGGCACAGTTTTTTGTTTGTTTAGTGTAAAGGTAGTAAGGGGTGCTTTTGGTGCCTGTATTGTACGGAATGTGCCATCCAACAAACATGTTTAAAACGCCGATGCCTTCATTGGACTGCCAGAAATCCAGGCGCCTGCAGCAACGACGTCATGGTGTTGACACTGCCTTAGCGTCGCGGATCGCAGAGAAGGATCGCCAGTTACAGGAGGCCGGGCTGAGCTTACAGCGGGTTCAGAGTATATGGCACAATCCCCAAGTTAGGTGGTTTATATGGACCCCCATCTAAAGACATGCAGGAGTGCCAGTGCCATCTACTCTGAAACCACTGTACTCGGAGATGTTGCATTGAAGCCGCCCTGGGCCGCCCTTCCAGTGCACCTCATCAGGCCCACAGGCAGCTGACCGTGGAGCTGCGACAGATTGAGACACAGGAACGCAGCAACCAGGACACCAGACTTCTGCAAGAGCCGGTGATGAGAACTTTGTATTTGCATGTCTTTGTCTAGTTTGTCTAGGACGTAACTTCCCCCTCCTACACGGAGTTGTAGATTGTAGGTCATTGTAGGTGATTGGAACCTGGCAACCTCGCGGAATTTGCAGTAGTTCAGCCTCATCAGCACGAGCTTCACGTCAATGCTTTTGCCGAACTTGATTTAATTTATCGTGTGTGTTGCTGGATGGGTAAGACGGATCTATATGAATCCCGCTTGAATTGAAGGAACAATACAGTTTCACATTATGTCACATAGTGCACTGTGGCTGGCATGTCTTGGCCCAAGAACCATGGCCAATTTCAGGATGAAGGAGCCGAAGGGCTCAATGCTCCTTCGTAACTCCGCTCTGTGACGCATGCGGTCCTTTGATGCCTTTGCTCGGCCGGTGCAGGAATTTCAAGTCAAGACTGCCGTGGGTGGATACATTTCGATTGGCTCTCTTTGCTTAGTTTTGGCGCTCTTTGTTGCGGAGCTCAATTACTTCCTCACGCCAGAAACGAGAGATGAAATGCTCATTGATCAGAACCAGGACCGAAAGTATTTAAACATTTCCTTCGACATCTCCTTTTCCTCTATGCCTTGCGCTGCTTTGTCTCTCAACTTGCTGGACCCGAAGAGCTTCAATGTGATGCATGTCACTCATGAAATCTACAAGATTCGACTCTCCAAGTCGGGCCAGCGGATTGGACAACCCATCCGGGACAGCTTGCAGAATGTGGCCTCTACGCCAGCACACTTGCTGGCGGCGTCTTTGCCGGAGAGGATCATTCTAAGCAATCATTCGACTCGAAATCTCCGATGTGCATCGTGCTTTCAGAGCCATATCGATGAGGATGACTGCTGCCCCACATGCAAGGAAGTGCAGACATCCTTTTTGAACCGGGGTTGGGATGATAGACCAGAGGAGTACGTCTTCGGGCAATGTGTGGAGCAGCTCTACCACAAGGAGCCGCCCCAAGCAGGCGAAGGCTGCAGACTGCAGGCCAAACTCCACGTTCGAAAGGTGCCTGCAACAATACACATCGGAGTCCAGCGCAGTGTGAACGCTGAGTATGTGAAGGTTGACAAGATGACTGAACTCACTGTGATGGCCGACTTTTCACATCATGTTCATGACCTGAATTTTGGTCCAGACTTTCCTGGTTTGATTCCTGTGTTGAACGGCCGTCAGAAAGCCAATCATCAACAAGCTATGACCGAGCATTATCAGTACGACATCCATATAATTCCGACCAGCTACCAGGATGGTGCTCAAGAGGTTCCAAGCCATCAGTATAGTGTAACTGAATATGTGAAAGCAGTGGACGCCAGCGACCCCAACCACGAGGCGGCTGCAAGTGGGTTGTGGATGAGTTATGACTTTACGCCTTTTGAAGTCCGTGTGACCACCAGCCGCAAGAGTTTATTCCATTTCTTTACTGAGTGCTGTGCCATTCTGGGTGGCATTTTTGCACCTGGCTCAGTTGTGCTTCTATTTTTGCGCAGTGAGCACACGGTGAAACCTTGTCCAAGTGTGCTGTGTGAAAGTTGCTCGTGTGATGCATGCTGTCTTTTTGACATGTGTTGACTTCAGGATATTCAAGAGTGTCAGAAGATGTCAGAAGTGATTCAGAAGTGTAGGTTCATGTTCTGTTTGGTTGTGTGAGACTAAGGCATTTTCTGGAATGCTGGACAATTTTGCACATCAGATCCACAAGTCTCTGGACAACGGCTCTCGAGGGATGCTGGAGTGAGAGCCATCGAGGATTCCAGTATCCTCGAGCACTGTGGAGCAAAGAAATGCTGACCTCAAAACCTCCGGCATCAACACGTGTCAAAGACCATGTACACAAGTCCGAGGCACATCCTGCTAAGCCAGAAGATGAAAAAGAAACGTGGGAATGAGCGCAGTGCAACTGCAAGATCCATTGCATAAACAGCTCCTGATGTGCAGCACAGTGCGAGCGCAGATAGCAAATGAGACTTGGTGACATTCTTACTTGCTGGATCTTACTGGTGTATACGTAGCATTTCGTTGGGAGTGACTGAGCATGTGGAAATATGTGGAATTTGGGTTCGGATTGGCCAAGACCTATCACAGCTGAGCTGTATCCGCCTGCAGGATGCCCTGAGACAGGAAGTCATCAAAGCGAGGAAGCGATGGGCTGGGAGCCTCAGGCATACGACGCTCTATTTAGATATATCATATATCATTCGATATTTAGGCACATGTGCAACCTTCAATCAAGATCCTCAAGCCGGTTCTGCGTGAATGCCAAGTTCGCCCCAAGGAGCAGGCATCTGCTGCAGCAAAACAACGGCTTGATCTCCATTTGGCTAGGGCCAGAACCTAAGCTTCCTGAGCTGAGGCTTCCTGCAGAATTGATTCGCATACGATTCCGTTTTATTTCTCCAAAGATCCAGCATTGCTTTAGTCATTCATTCGAGCACTCTCAGTCAAACCTCGTCTCATCTCATCATATCTCATCTCAGCAAGGTCAAGGCTGATTGTCGAGAAATGCTCCGTGGAACTGCCATCCAGTGGGAGAAAGCTGTGTTGCAAGAGCGCAAGGCATTGAAGGACTGACGACTCACACCAGGTAACCACTGGGCATATCAATGTACATGATCATGGGACATTGCTTTGTTTCCAAGCCAACGTTGCTTTGATACAGTGGGAGTGAGTTGTAGTATGTGAGACCCGTCACTGACACGACTATACACATGACTCCAACATGCTCCAACTATTCTTCCCTTCTTGAATAAAGTGATGCCCACGCTCTACCTGCCACACACCTCATTTCTGATTGGATGTTTGTGAGTGAATTCTTCTGCAGAAAACCTTGCCAGACACTCAGTGACCACTTAGCCTCGATGCTGGCAGGAAGCCAAGGAGAGGCGCGAGAAGTGGCAAAAGCGAGTGGACTATTCGAGGAATGCCTTTCGTGGCCACTGTGTGAAGTCCGAGTCCGAGTCACAGGGCCATACAGGGAAAGGCACAGTGTGCCGCATTTGGGAGTGTGCCAACGTTTGCCTTTGAACAGCTGTTGACCCACTTTGGAATGCTGCATTCCTGTTTGCCGCAGCCATGCGCATGCCGGCATGGCACCTAAGGACAGGAGTCTATGTGCCCCTGACATGTTGAAGTGCGGCGTTTGTCATATCAGGATGATGACCATTTGGAGGTCAAGATGCACTGACTGAAACCCTAGCAATTGCAGGGATGTATATACAGGGCGACGTCATCCGAACACGAACTGCATTGTTGTGCCTGTGAATGCAGATGATGCTCCAGATCATACTGATTGATCGTTGACATGTTCAGCTTCGGCCAAGCATGCAGCCTAGAGTCTAGCTGCAATAGATCATTTTCACACACACACATATATATATATATCTAATCACATTATGTTATCATATTCCTTTCAAACTGGTCAAGACATCCCAAGATCTTGGCTGCTTCAAGGGACGCTAGAAGAGCTGAAGAATGCTCGTGCAATTGGTTCTCGAAGATTGTCACCGTCGCTTCAGCACTGCCAGGCTCGAAGCATGGACGCCAGCCGTCGAGCCATCCTGGACAGCATAGTCCCACGGGCCAAGGCCTGGCAAAGTGTCGTGCCAAGTGTATGTTTACACCCCTGGAAAATCTCACAGCTTGCAGCAGGAGTTTTCAACGGTCCAAATGTGAAGTTCAGACGTGGTGCAAGAACGCTTACCTTGTAATTTGGGATGAGGGTGACTACAGCTGGACACCTTGAAATCACCGTCGCAGGTGGGCGACCTGACAAGTTAGAGCACCCGTTCGTGCCGCGCCAGCGGCTGTCTCACCCACAGGGTGCCAGGTCATACCAGCATTCAAGAACTCCAATTTTTGGAGGGGAGGCTCTTGGCTTGTCTCAACGACTGATCACAGGTGAAGTGCAGCATGAAATGGCATCTTTGTAAGCTGATGCTGCCCACCAGACTAGCCGAAAAAGTCGGAAGTGCGAGTCAGGAAGTTCAAGACACCATGTGCAAAGCAGGAAGGCCATGACACTTGCCAGAAGGCAAAGCAATCGAAATCAGATTATTTCCGGAACTTGGTTTGGATCACGCGCTTGAGGCGAGACAAAAATTAAAAGCCGCTGTTTCGCGCTACGAGCAGGGATTCCCAAGTGGAGTGCTTTTTTGGGGGGTGCAAAGACGAACAAATGAGGTCGGCAGTCAGATACAAATAGAGTTACAACTAGCAGAGTTGGGAAAATAAACGTTTTTGCTGCTAGTAGCTGCTAGTCATTCCGATGTCTTTGGTCAGAGCTGTGTTGAAAGATTTCTATCACATGACAGCATGTTTGCATTTTAAGTCATTTTTGGCCCTTTCCCTTAAGTATGACTTACAAGGCTGGTGTGGCTACCACCGTTCCAAGGCTACGTGTGTTTTGGCGGCGCCTCGATGAAGACAGCGGACAAGCATCCATCGAGGAGTTCGGGCCACGTCCTCGGGTTTGGGCGCCATTTTTGGAGCTGTCCGTGTTGATTGCCAATGCACCAGTGCGGATGAAGAATCTATTTTCATGAACCATATTGAACGCATATTTAAATATCCATATATAATAGTATATAAATGAAAAGGCTTCGGCAAACTTCTTCATTCTGTGCAGTCAAATCCCTTTCGCGGACACGTTTTTTCCTTGCAGTGCTTGGTCTTCTCACTTTCTTCTTGGTTGTCTGAAGGCGTTTGATGTACAAGATTGAGCTTAGCCAATGGTGCGAGCCTCGGACTGTTCGGAGGTCCCCTCCTCTCGCCCAAAGTCATTATATAATAGTGACAGGATGCGACAGGTGAAAGGCCACGAGTCATGAGTCATGTATCTAGGTCAGTCAGCCAAAGATCAATCGTTTGTAACAATTATTATATCACACAATGTGTATATATAAAGTTCTTAACTGTATTATACTGTAATGTATATATATAATATATATACATGTATATTTATTGATTTATTCACTACACACATACTGTACAATTTGTCCTCATTGGCCCGACCCACAACATCAGCACGTCCTCGACACGTCGAGGCCAGATCTTTCAGACGATGACCTGGAACGAATCGCCATGGCTCCCAGACATTCCCGTCGACTTGTCGTGCCATGTGCAAGCCTGGATGTGAACTCAGACACGACACGTACACCAGGACAACAAGGTTGATTTGGTGCTGTTGTGGTGATGTGAATAACATGTGTGCAGGATGTGAACCAGGAATCGTAAACAAACTAAAGGTTTAGGAAAGGCATGATTGGAAATATATCATGTATTATAATGTCTATTCATATCTTTGTATGCATTTTTCTGTTTGTTTGCATCCCCACACAACCACCAACCCTCCAACCCATCCATTCCTGGAGCTGTTTATCGACTTATCGACTAATTAATGCAGACTCTTCATATATTATATATATACTGTATGCTTTGTGGACTCACGTGCTTACATGGCTGACATCTAATACATGGGCAACGAATGGCCAGAGTCAAAGAGATCTTGCATAAGGGGGAGGATGCTACAATATCTCGTGCTTTCCAACGCTCATGTGATTTCGAGGTGGCACTATTGAACCGCGCTGCTCACAAGTGGCACCGTGCTGGTGGGAACTGGCAGTGTCCCCAAGACTTGAGTGAATGCATCTTGAGTTTTGTTGGGGGAGTCGGAGATTTACTGTAATAGAGATTTGAACAATGATTCCAAGTCTGGATGACAATCGGAATAATGTGCGGCAAACTCTTGGCCACACTGCCAGAATATAAATCAAAATCAATCCTGGGGGTTGAGTGGGGAGATCTAAACCAATCCCTATTTTTTATCAGAGCAGCTTGCATGAGGTTCAAGATCTTCAATCAAATCGATGCCGATGGTAGCGGAAATCTCTCTTATGATGAGCTTGTGTCCTGCGCGAGGGCCTCAAGTGCAGGGTGGGAGGCTTTTCTCAGGCTCTTCACACGTGGATAAATTTGGCATCTACCCTCTGCAGGCAAGGTATGGCAGGATACCACCTGCCAAGCGAAGAAAGAAAGTATTGTCGAAAGATGTCGAAAGGCTTTGGGGACCAATCCACGGCGAAAGTAGCGGTCTTCACAGAGCGTTGGGGACCGAGCTGAGGTTCGTAGCTCGTACCCATGTCTCAGGGTCTCTACCAACGAAGTGACGGACAAAGAGCTGCAGCGGCCTTGAGACCAGCTGCCCATGTCTTGCAACACCGGCAGTCCTTGAAGACCTTAAGTGCAGTTGGTTCATTTTGGTCGTCATCATCTTACTAATAGTTGAATAATGTTGAAAATACAGTAATTATACAAATTGAATGGAGTCAGATACTGCGTGGTTTCGGGAAATCTGCGCTTTTGGAGATAAGCTTGACTGTTCGTTCCTGAACATTTGGACACTGGTGAGCTGCTAAGGCGAGGGCTTTGGAAGGCCGGAGTTGGTTTGGTCGGAAAGTGTTATGGCTTGTACAGTGGCTTGTACTTGTATAGTGAATTGAACAGATAGAAGATTATAGAGGAGTTGCACTGCAGCCCAAAAATGCAAATTCGTGGATTATTGAAGACATTCGTAGACATTCGCACCAATTTTGTCAACATTTGTCCTGTATAGCTTCATCTTGCCTGGTGCGACCTGACTGGGGTTTGTGCTCGCTCAAGGCACTCGACTCGATGGGTAGCATCGAAGTCCCTGTGCATCGCTTCATGGTCCGGGAACCCGGTCTCAGCTGCGCCGACTTGATCCAGCCCAGCGGGAATCCGCTGGGAGACGCTGCAGCAGTATAACTCGTCGAGGTTGACGTTGCGATACGAAGAAGGTGTTTCAATGTTTTTGTTTCCAGATGGCCTGTACCAAAGAGGATGCAAATGCCTGTGATACATGAGGCCTGTACCAAACACAATGTGATTCTAGACTGTGGCAAGGAGCACTACAGCATATATAGCATATAGTGAAGCAACTAGTTATGTCATGTGTGAGTACATTGATATATAGTGTTCTCAAATGATTGGAACACATTGGAACCTACCAAAAAGAACGGTCCCCCTGCACACCAGGGAGAGACGCTTGGACTTTGGCGTCCTTAGCATAGGAGCCGAGGCCTTCTAGTGAAGCAGACCTCAGCGCACCGAGGTCTTCATGCGCCGCTGGTCCAGCGTGTGGCACTGAGCTGGGGCGGCCATGGTAGCCAAGATGGTCACACGATAGCATGGTTTCCTGGTTGTTGGGATTGTGACTCAAAACGCATACACCTGTATGACATACACACACACATCCCAAACTCAGCCGCCCCCATATTTGGAATTGGGAAGTGATCCCATCAGGAGGATTCAGGAGGCAGACTCAGGTAAGGCTTTGTGAAGATTCTGGCACGAAATCTGTCACCATTCCAGTGTCAGGGTGACGCTGGGCTTCACAAAAAGGGTGACCGGAGCAAAGGTGAAAGAAATTCGCCTGAGACTGAGATAAATTTGGGAAAGAGCGTCCGTGCCAAAGCACATCCACTTGACATTTTTTTTGCAGGTCGTAGGCACCCAAATACATATATAATATATATTTATATACTGTATATATATATAGGAATAAGAAGCTAGTAGGAACAAAGGGCATGGCTACTAACAAGGGCATCGCTATCAGCTCCTGGCCTTACTAGCAAGAAGCTACTAGCGTGGCACTTGTTACTACTAGCTTCTTGTTACTACTAGCTTCTTGTTACTACTAGTAAGGCACTTGTTACTACTAGTAAGGCACCTGTTACTACTACTGGTCAGTTTGAGGCTGCCTCCAGTGGCCGAACGCTCTGCCGGTGAAGTGCGCGCTGTTGCTGCAGCCCTCGAGCACGGCTCTCGGGCGTCAAAAATCTGTCCCGTGTGGAATTGGACGAAGTGAGGCGTGCCCTCTCTTCCTACTACATCGACCAGGGCTACTTGAGCGTTGCAAGCGCCAGCTTGACTCCAAGATGGTGGCAATGGCAATCGCATGCGGTGACACTGTCAACAGTGACCGCCACCACCTGTTTTTTCCCCGCAACCCTGACATACCGTGACACCATGTGCATTGGCCTGCAGCCGTCAGAAGTGAAGATAGTGGTAGCTTGGAAGTCCCACAGCATGTAGGTGGTTGACACAGTTTTTGAGTGCTGGATGAATCCAATGGATGCGTTTTGTACATACAAGCATGAGACACTGGAGCTGGGAAGAGGAGGTAGCTTTTGCAAGGCGTGGGGCTGCTTTTGGCGCCAAGCAAGCTTAGTAAACGGCGGCAGCAGCAGCAGCAGCAGCAGCAGCAGCATTAGCATGTCGTGGTGGCACTTTGTTCCTTGCAAAGGACTGGTGGTGAGGTTTAGTCGGAGGTTGCCAGGCCTGCTAGGCTGGTGTTGGAGAGCCCAATTGGCTAGGAGCGTTTCTTGGCCAGACATAGTGGGATGGATGGACCTGTAAACTGACTCTGTACTCACGTAATCTCGCGTAGCCGTAGCCCATTGAAAAGCTAACGAAGAGTGTAGGTCTGTAGGGCAGCGCAAAGTGGATTTGCGTTGTACCTATACGTATGATATGTCTAACACATGGTAACACACACAGAGTATTGAGCGATCATGTTTTTGTTGGGATGCCGACCAAGCAACGCCCAAACCAAGCACAAGCACGCGCTGACCTTTTGCTCCCAGAGTCCGTGACCCATGCGAGGGGTCCTTGCAAAAGCATGAAGTGCTTGGGCGCTAGTACAGTGTTGCTGATGTTGCTGTAGCGGTTGGTTATCACGACACCCCCGATGAGGCGAAGCAGCCGCGTGGCATGGAGGAGCCAGATTCAACGTGAGCAGCTCAGTTAGGTGCGAGAAGTGCTGTCCCATCAGTTCTTTTTGTGAGATCGCAAGAGTTGCGAAGAGTTCACTCCATGGTGAAACAGGCATGACACAATCATGTAACATGCCCTGTGGCCAGTGGCAGTCTCACAGCATCACAGCTTCTCCTCGGCAGCTCTCAAATGCCTCGAAAATTGAGGATTCATCCTGCAGTTGGACACGCTTCTTTAGCGAGCCTGCTCCTTGGAGCCCCCTTTCCTTGCCTCTAAGTAGCTAGCTGCTGCCAGTGGTATTGTAGAGTTGATCCATGAAGTCAGTCAGTTGGCCCAACTAGATACAATTACAAGGCGTGCATGTTTGATAGATTCTGAAGGAGTTTGATGAGCCAGTCAACCATTTTGGCACCGGGACGTTCACATTCAGTTTGAGGGACTTGAGGGAGGCAGCTGGGTGGGATGACGTGCCTTTCACAATCGTCCCTCCTGAAGCTGGCCATGACGAGCTGCTTGGGCTGCGCGTCCTTCGCCCAGGATGGATACAGATCGCAGTGGTCGACTGGCTCCAGACTGAGGATACACATGGATACACTCAGCATCACGTAGCGTGATGCTATGTGATGCTGAAGCCCTTTCAGCCCGGGGCAATCAGTCAAAGTCTTCAACTCTACCTTGCAGTGAAGCTTGTCACCTGTTTTTGTTCAACTCATCCCATGGCAAACCCAATGGGATGTTTTGCTTTGCCGTTTTGAATTGGGCCAAGGCGGCATGTGATTCTTGCAGGCATTTTCCGTTCAAGAGCGTTGAACCTGGCGCCATGCTGTGGTTCAGCGACAGGTTCTTACCATGCTGCATTTGCCAGAGGTCGGAGGAAATCCCACCGACCGAATTGCGGGTGCAGCGGTTGGATGCCATGCTAGATGAAAACAGACGAGATGCACCAATCGATTTGCCAGAGTATCCAGACTTAGCCTTGAACAACGATGGCTTTGGTATGTGTGGCTTGGAGCAATTCCGTGTGTCACTCGACAAGGAAGCCATCGAAGAAGCCGGCCTGGGGCTGGACTTCGACACAACGCAGCGAGAAGTTTGTGTAGTTGTGCGAATTGATCCGCATGGAGAAGCTGCACGGTGGAATGCCAGTCGCCTGGAGAAGATACGTGTACATGATCGCTTGGTGGCAGTGAACCATCAATTCCTGCCAGCCGTGGAGTTGTGGGAGAAGCTCCAGGCATGCGCCTCATCCAGATTGGAGCTTATTTTTGAACGGCCTGACATCTACAGCTTCAAATTCAATCGCTCAGACGGCAAAGTGGGCCTGTCCTTGGCTGTCAGCAAGGTGTGTCCTGTCTTGATTATTAAGGGCGTAGACCCTGACGGCGTGATGAGCCAGAAAGTGGTCGAGGATGGTGACAAGCGTCCGCGGCCGCAGGACCGGATTCTCCAAGTGAATGGTGAGCAGTTCGACTCGACGCGAATGGCAAAGCAACTGTCAGCCAACAAAGTCTCCCTTACAGCTTGTCGTTACAATGTTTGATCCTGTGGCCTGGCCACCCTTCAGATTTCATCAATCGGTCTGTGTGCTTTGAGATGCTGCTTGAATGCTTCCTGCAGTATTGCGATACTCCAAATTTGGCATTTTTTGGCCAACACCAAATATAGGAATGTGATGCCCGGATCATATGGTTTCACTTGACTACACGCAAATAATTCAACCATATTCAACCGTTTAAGAGCCCGTGGATTTTCTCATCGCATTTGTGCTAGCTGCTAGTGATTATGGTTTTCTTTTCGGGGAAGCGGAGGCAGAACGACAAGGGATACCATTGCCCGCCCAAATGGGAGAATCTTGACCATCGGGATCCGGGCAGGTTTGGCGATGCGTTTTTCTGGCACCATTTTGATGGAGCCGCCATAAGGAGCATTCGGGTGCCCTCCTAAACGGAGCATCAGTCGCCCCCGGAGGCATGGAATTCTAGAAAGCCACGTTTCCTGGTAGCATCTCTTAGCCAGGTCTCTAGCAGAAAAAGTCCACGCGACCAGAGCAGCAACGACTTTGGTTGTAGCATGTTGTAGCCCATCGCGCAAGAACCTGGGGGGCACAGAGACTTGAATGATCAGACTTAGACCGCTCAGCAGCGTGCAACCTCCGAGAACTTGCTGTATCTCCCACCAGTTCGCCGCATTTCGCAACCACTGTGCAAGGGCATATCAAAAAATATTTATCGAATCAAAAAAACAAGTATTTAACGAATCAACAAAATATTTACCGAATCAATAAACAATATTCGTTTGTGCGATGAAATCCCTTGGAATTCCCAGTCGTGTGGGTGGCCGGTCCTCTGGTCCGCTGGTCCCCTGGTCCGCTGGTCCTCTGGTCCGCTTGTCCCCTGGTCCTCTGGTCCTCTGGTCCGCTGGTCCCCTGGTCCTCTGGACCTCTGAGGCAGAGACCGACAGCCCAGCGTCCAGCCAGCTTGCTGCAGCAAAGTGGGGCTACAGCTGTGGCACCCACATCCTTATCCAATCACTTGTTTCATTGCAGCTTTGCAACTCTGCCGAGATCAGCGGCTCCCAGTCGGCACTCGCGGTGCAATCAGAATTGCCCCAGCACTGGTTTGACATAGAGGAGGACGCCTTTCTGGCGACCCCACGCCTCCTCAGCCACACCATGTCTTGCCTAAATGTCATCTACGCAGAGATGAACTTGCCGTCTGACCAGAGAGCTGGCACACAGGCCGTTTCCACTCCTGGAGGGCACCAGCCAACGCTCAGCAACAGAGGAGCCGCTTTGTCCAAAGCCTTGAGGCGCAACAGACACAAGGGCTTTCTAACCATGTCTGACGTCAAGCCTCATATTACTTCAAGGCTTCGCACCCCAGAGGAATACCAGGCCATCTTCCAGCTTGCAGAAAGTTTGTCCATCGGTGTCATTCAAGGGCACTACCCTGGCACCCGAACTGAGCCGTTTGCACTCAAGCTGACTTTGTCCAAGGCGACGCAGCAAACACGGAGCCGCTTCAATTTAGAAGCCGGGGTTAGTCAACTTATTGCAGCTGGTTCGCACAAATGTTTCGCCGTGTGCCCTCACACTATTTGCAGCATGTCCTATTTGGATTTTGGTGACGCATTCTGTGGCCAGCCAAATGCTTGCGTCCCTTTGCACCTCTTCATGTCTGTGTGCCTCAGCCCTGCTCCACTTGCTGTTCAGAGTGGCCTCGTCGATGTACTGATGGCTTTGTCCACCGGGTCAATGCTGGATGTCACGCCCGACTTTGATTTAGGGCACCCTTCGTCTCTCCACCGCTTTCATTTGCTTGCCCAAGACATGAAGTTGCAAGTCGCGCTCCTGTATGTCCATGTGAGTTTTGCTTCTCGTCGTATGTTCTCTGCAGACAACTGCTTGGCTGCAAAACGCCAGACTTTTGCCTCCCTCCAGTGCTTGTGTCCGTGTAAGATCAACATTGTGTACTTGTTCGCCGAGACGCCGAAAGCATTGCTTCCATGAATTTACCCATTTGTCACGTCCTGGCTGGAGTTCGCCAAGCACAGCCTGCAGCCAAGCCCAAGGCCAAGGCCAAAGCCAAGGCCGACCCGGCCCAAAAGCCAAGGCTGTGCCCAAGGCCAACCCTGCACCAAAAGCAAAAGTTGGTCGCCCACGCAAAGGAGTGAAACCGGACCTCACTTTGGAACCCCCCCAACTGTGATAGAAGGAGGATTTGACGGGAAGCAAAAGCTTTTTGCAAGCGCAAAAGGAATGGGCTTCGAGGCTTGTGGAAGGCAAAGTCTTGGCAATCCGCCACCAATGGCTGCCATACTCGAAAGGTTACAGGCTCCTTCTTTGGTGCAACAGCTGCGCAAAGTGTAGTCAGAACTATCAAGGTTGGAGTGCGTGGTGCTGTTTTGACACAGAGACAAGCACACTCAGCAGAAAGTATACTCCTCTTGCAGCCCATGGCGACTTCACCAAGGTGAAAGGTTGGAATTGCCTCACCAGCACTACGGGAAGACGCCTCAAAGACCACCCAAGACCTTCTCAAAATCACAGAAAGCTCACAGCCTCAGCAACCTGTTGCAGAATCATTTTTGCAAGTCTGGCGCCGGAATCACAAAGAGAAAGATGGCTTGCGGCCTTCCACTCTCGTGTGGCGTCAGTATGATTGGCAGCAGTTGTTGCGAGCAGCGCCTCAGTTTGAGTCCATGGCCAAGGATGTACCAGATACTCTCACCATTGTTTCTGCTGACCTGTCACCAGAGCACACCACTGTAGTTGTTGTCAATCCATGTCTTTTCCGCAAAACTTTTGACATGCTCACAAACAAGGACTACATAAAACTTTGTGGAGATGGAACTTTCCGCATGATTCATGGAGGATGGGTGTTGCTGAACCTCGGTGTTTTGAGTAAACACTGCGCACCTGTCGGGCAAACCATGGCAAACCTATGCTTTTCGCTCCACCTATTCCCCTTTGCTCTTTGCGACCGCCAGTAAAGTTACGCAATGTCGACTTGCCAACAAGGGTGGCCCAGTACCATTGCCATTGGCATGCTGGGGAGAATGCAGCTCGCCAGAATGTATTTCCAGCCTCGCACAGGGTAGCTGACTTTGCTCATTTCATTGGGGCTTGCGTTCGACCAAAGCAGCCGGCATCCCCGGATGAAACTGTGGAAGCTTACCGTGCAGGATTTTACGCACAGTTACAAAACATTTGGTCGACCGAACCTGGGGACAATACTTGGTTTCACGCGTCTACGCCTTGCGGTCATGTCCATCTGCCCTTGTTGCCGTAGAGGGGCTCTTGCAATCCATGCTCCAGACAGATTCTGCGTTCAGTACAGCAGGTTCGAAGTGTGATGGGGTTGCAAACAGAGTTGAGGATAACTGGGACTGGACAACATGCTTCGAATGGCCAAGCAGAATGAGCAGTGCAAACTGTCAGAAGGCTAGCAAATTGTCTGAGAGCCTTTGCCGAGGAGCGAGCACGAATCAACATCTTGGGAAACTTTCACTTGTTTCCTTGGTCCTTCAGACATGCGGCCTTCCTCATCAACAGGTTTCGAGTGCTGGATGGTTGCAAGAAGACAAGTCACGAGCTCGCAACTGGCCATGCATACAGGGGCAAATTGGCGCTGTTCGGTGAGAGCGTCATGTTCAAGAGGATTGTCCAGTACAAGGGCAGTGGAACCTTTGAGCGAGGTGTCTGGGCTGGAAAGCATCCATGGACAGATTGCCACATCATCCTCACAGAGAATGGAGCCTTCGAGAGCGTGGACATACTATGTGCCAAGGGACTGCCCTGGAGTTACTCGCCACAGGGTATCCTCATGAAGCATGCAGGTCAAGCCCAGAAGTATCGACGGCCCACTTTGGAGACTGACGCCAGCGAGGAGGACATGAGGCAGATTGCGACAGATGTGGCTGCTGGCGTAGTGACACCGGCACCTGGCCTATGTGCACAACCGGCCACGCCAGGCATTGCAGTTCCCGCACCTTCAACACCAGCATTTGCGTCACCGAGATCAAAGGGTGACAAAAGAGCACTGCTGGAGGAGGAGAAAGAAGACGGGCATGAGGAAAAGAAGTTAGACCAATCCACTTCACCGCGCAGGGCGCATGAGAAAAGGGTGATTGAAATCAGCGATGATGAGGACGAGAAGAAAGCCCGTGTTGAAGTACCAGCATCGCCTGAAGCCCCAATGGAGTCAGCACCAACAGAAAGGTCAACTCAAGCCTCACCGGCAAGTTCTGGTCCATTGTATCCACCGCATTTTGCGGGGTTGAATGCAGTTGAGGCGCATGGAGATGAGGAAGTTGGTGCGGATTACATCCCAGAGGATGTGATGGAGGAGGAGATTTGGGGCTATGGAGGTGAAGAAGGAGATGACCCACCTGAAGTCAGTGAAGAAGAGTTGGAACATCTGGATACCATGGCAAAGGACAAGGAGATCAACCGGATGTTGGAGATGCCAGCCATGGTGGAAGTTGAAGCAGAGGAGGTGGAAGTCAATGGTGCATACATCATTTCCACGAAGGAAGTCATGTGTTGGAAGCGTCGACTTGATCAAGGCGGGTGGTTTCGAAGAGCCCGACTAGTAGCAAGGCAGTTCAGAAATTCAATACAGTTGGAGCAAACAGTCGCTCCTACTGGGATGATGTGCTTGCCAAAGATGCTCCTCCACCTGACCTTGAACGTCTATGTGGGATTCTCGGTCATGACTTTAGATGTCAAAGACGCTTTCCTGATGTCGCCACAGCCTGCCGAAGAACGAGCATATGTCCGAGTAAATGGCCGCATATTCAAATTGCTTCGATGCCTACCTGGCCAGAGGACAGCTGCATCACAGTGGTCCCAGCATTTTGCAGGAGCTTGCATTGAGTTTGGGATGAAGCAAGATCCTATGCAGCCTACCCTCTTGTACATCCCAGAAGAGCTGTAATTGACAGTGCATGTGGATCAGCGGCTCCGGGACTTTGTGAACTACCTCAAAAAAAGAAAGGTTGGAATGTGGAAGAAAAAGGGCCATTCAAACCCGGTGAAAGATTCCACTACTTGAAGAGGGAGTTCACCCTGAGGCCACACCATTGCGATGTGAGATGCGACAGAAAGCAATATGATAGCTTTGAAAAGGATGTGGACCTGTTCTCAAAGTTCTACCGGAAAACCCCGCTGGATGCAAACTTCACGAAGAAGGACACCTCACCTGCACTCGAAGGAGGAGAAGTCACAGGGTACAGAAGCATTGTTGGCAGGTTGATGTATCTGGCAGGGGAGAGACCGGATGCACAGTTTGCAATCCAATGTCTGGCACGACATATGGCAAAGCCGACGGCCCAAGCAATGAAGCATGCATGGCATGTGTGCTCCTACCTGTTCGGCGCTGGAGGGTTTGGAGTCCGCATCGACAGCAAGAGCCGGGGCCAGTCAGTGATGGACATGAGGTGTTCAGTGGATGTGGAGCCACAAGACCAACACTTGGTTGAGGTGGTGACCGATGCCGACTATGCAGGAAATCAGCACGACCGGAAGTCGACCAGTTCCTTCCAGATCTTCATTGATGGGAACTTGGTTGAGTCAAAGGTGAGGTCACAAAAGGCTATCTCCCTGTCATCCGGAGAAGCAGAGTTTGTGGCGATGGTGGCAGGGTGCTCCGAAGGGCTGCTGATCAAGCACCTATGGCAGCAGCTGACAGGACAGCCATGTGTCCTGAAGATCAGGTCTGACAGTTCCGCGGCGAGAGCGATGACTCAGAGGCAGGGCATTGGCAGAGTGCGTCATTTGGATGCATCGCTGTTATGGATCCAGCAGAAGGAGAAGGAAAAGGTGGTGGCCATTGCATCCATCCCCACGGACCTGAATTGTGCCGACTTGGGGACCAAGTGCTTGAGCAAGAAGAGGCACAAAGCCCTACTGTGGATGCTGAACATGGTGGACGCCGGTGGTGACCGTGTGGGTGAAGAGGAGTTCCGTGAGTTGGAAGAGCAGCGCAACTTGAAGCAGAGCGTCAAGGAGTTCGGGAAAAGTAAGGACATGAGGATCGGCCTGCTGATGTTGCTCAGCACTTTGACTAGGGCGACGGGCATGCCGAGTGAAGGAGAAGTTCATGTACATGAAGGTTTGGATTGGGGCTGGATGGCCCTATGTGCATGTGCTCTGATTGGGGCCTTGAGCTTGATGAGTTGGCTGCGGGCCTATATGGTGGAGATTTTCGATGGCACGAAGGACTTCATGATGAAGTATGTGAAGGAGGTAGTGAGAGGCCAAGAGGTCATGATGACCTTGAAATTCACGGTGGAAAACAAAGGAACACAAACCACCGGTGAGGTCATGTATCAAGACCTCAAGGAATGTTTGAAAGAGCTTGAAGAGGCTCAGTTACGGAATTTCCACCAAGACACATACATAGAGGAGTTGGAGGAAAAGCTGAAATTTGTACAGGAGACCATGGATGATTTTTTGATCCAGGTCAAGCTTTCCGACAAACGTGCAACGAAGGTGGAAGATAGGTTGAGCCGACTCCGCATGACGCCGACAGGGCGTGTGATCCATTTTTCCCCCACATGTACCCACTGGGGGCATGGACAGGAAGTCGCATATTGTAAGATATGCGTAGACGTAGAATGCCCCAATGAAGGAGGAGTGACAGAACATGGAAGGAAATCATAAGGTACAGTCATTGGAGCATGACACGCACAAATCAAGAAGCGCATACTGTGGCCATTACCAGGCCTCAAGCCCATTCGAAAAGTCCGCTTTCCGTCTTTCATATTCATTAAATATTGTTTTGATGCGGGTGGAAAATTTTTTAGTGATGCCTTAAATATTTTTTTTTGATCTCTCACCCCTGGGCAAGCTCGCCAAGCTCATGAATCCAGTGCCTTTTGAACATTTTTGAAATGTAATGCATAGATATGCATAGAAAGCTGGCTGTGTTTGGGCATTTTGGGCCCTGCGGTCTTGGCGGTCTTGCTGGAGATCTTTAGCTCGCCGTGACATACCATGTTCGGCATATTTCGACCAGCACTCTGGTGCACTAGTACCCATACCTCGCCCATCTCGATCCACCCGCCCTGCCCAGTCCTACAACCACTTTTTGCGTGTGATCTTCTCCAAGTTGAAGCCATGGCTCGATCCCAAGGCCCGGACCCCGAGGGCCCCGAGGGCCCCGACCTGATGGGTGTGACCGTAGTCTGCAGCTCCTAGCAGCGGTGCCCTTTGATGCTGCTAGCTTCTTGTTCCTAGTAGTAAGGCCAGGAGCTAGTAGTTTGCTTGCTCCTAGTAGCGAGGTGCTATGTTGCCCTTCCCAATTCCGGTCCTGAAGAAACTTGCGCTGACCTCGGGGTGTTTCTTCTCCAGGTCACTTTGCCTGTTGGAGGCTGTGGGCGGAATGTGCAGCGAGCTGAGCTTTTCACGGCCATCCAGGAGGGTTGTTGTGCACTGATGCTTTTGCTGCTATGCTTTGCTTAGAACCCTGAGATTTAATCCAGAATCCTGAACCTTCTGCTGGGCTCCAGGCCGCGTTGCGGGCAGAAAGAGTGCAACGCGAGATAGTGTCAGGTGACAGATCAAACGTTCCTGAAGGCGCCAGGCATTTCCTGGCAAGATATCAATGCAATTGCAACGGCCACCCGTAAAGGTTCAAGCGCAACATTCGCTGAGGATGACGTTTCATACATTTGTAACATTTTGTAACCATGCCAGGCATCCCGTCGCATATTGGAGAAACCCCGTGAAGAACTCTGTAAAATTAAGTATATGGATCATTGAAATGCATCAACTGTGCTTTCTTTTTTGATTTGGATTGTTGGCTTGTTCATAGCTTGCCATCTGGCACTCAGGTCCAAAGAAGACGTCCGCGCACTTTGGGATAAGCTGGACTGGAGCAAGTTCGGACATCACACGAGACACAATACAGCAAGAACGGTAGATCCAATCTATTATTCCAATCTTACGTTTGCCGTGGTTGCTGGGGAAATTGGACAAATCAATAAAGACCGGCTACCGGCTGTGGGGGAAGATGGCTGGATGCATTTTTGTTGCAATGTTTCTGGGATGCCCAAACTTTGATCTTAGTTTCAGGCGCAGCTCCTTGGAGTCAGCCTTGAAGTGATACAGATTGCCCCCTGTACTTCCCCTTGACCTAACACAGCCTGGCACAAGATACTGTCGAAGATTGCATGCCAAGGCCTGCTTATGTGCCCTATTTTGCCCTCATGCAACCGCTTAAATGAATAGAGAGGCCCTCCAGTGTGGCTGTCAGGACCCCTCATCCATCGGCGAAGTCACGGCCAAGGGCATGATGCTGGGTTTGTGCTTCTTCTTTCATTTTTTCTCCAGTGACATGCCGTCTTTGATTGGAGCACCATAGCCAGCTGCACGAGAATCACTTCAGCCAAGCGGCACGTTTGCAGTGTGTGCAAAGTCGGCGTCTCAGAGGTACCAGGTGCAGCTCGAAGCCTGGCCTGAGTTGGACACCTCTGAGCTGGAGCGCATTGTGGTCCTCACCAGTTTTTTCACAGTCTAGTTCAGAAGGGAATAGAAAAGACCGGCTTTGTGGGTCTTTCAGCCATGCTGTCTCAGTGGTCAAAAAATCTCAAAGTGACGTGCATCATGCTTTTGGAAAATGCTGGACCCGACTGGACCCTGCTTATTTGGCCGATGGTGCCAGGCGACTCTCATCAATCAAGCTGCTGCGGGAAGACTCAGCTTGACTTGGGAAATCAAAGATGCAAACACCGAGTATCCTTTCGCAATGACCTACCAACAACATGCAAAGAATATAATTATAGAAGTAATAGTAACCGTCATGAAATTCTTGGCAGTTGTTATCTTCATACCATTCACAACGCAGACGCCTGCCTGACGTAGCATCATTCAAAAAGGCCGTGCCACCCTCTTGCATGAAATCATGAACAGCCAAGAAACTTGACTCGTAGAGCCGTCTGAAAATCATGACAGTGATCAACAAAACCGATCTCCTCCTAAAAAATCATCAGGATTGAATTTTACATAGTGTTCCGGCTCACGCACTTCAGGAGAATGACTCAATCCTGGAGATTTATTTGGCATAGATCTAGATAGCTGGTTGTTGAAGTCGTTTTGCTTGCGGGTGCGGGCGTTGCACCGTTTTACGGCCATTTGTTCTGTAATTGATGTTCTGTAGTTCTTCGGTGTTTGAACAAATCCGCTCAACTTGGCCAATGCCGAGGTTAAACGGCTGCGAAGTGGAGGGAACAACTGGTACAAGATTTTCAATCTAGTCGACAAGGCGAAGCCCCTTTTTGACTCGTCCGTCAATGTGCTCCGCTTTTTCTCGGGGGCTTTTCTAGGGATGATGATGGCTGGGTCCCGGGTGGACCACTGTGGCAGAGCACAAACTTCTCCGACACTGCCACCCTGATACGGAAGGTTGCTGTTGTTTACCATGTGCAGTTTCCGTTGCGCTCTAGCTTGGCAGGCAGTCGGGTAGACACTAGACGAATGACTGAGATTAATTTTAAGTGTCAAGCAAGAGAGTCTTGCCCCATAGCAAGTTGCCACCAACGGTTTTGCGCGCCCATGAGGCACAGTCTGGGCGTCTAAGCTTCGGAAGTCTCAGGGAGGTCTTGAGGGACATGTGGTGCTCCTCTCAGACTTGACACGTGTGCCACAGTGTGAGGCTCTCCAGGTTTCGTGCAGTAGTCATTCCAAAAGGGGAACATGGGGAGAGGCACGCATAACGATTTCCAACGCCTGCGGAATGTCGGTCTCTTTTGAGATATGAAGAGGTTAGAATTCACTTCCACAAGACCAAGTTGCATGCCTCAGCTTTTGCCTATGTCTCTTTCAGCTCCAACTGGCTCAAACTTCTTTCGTTCACTCCTTGACTTTTATTGAGCGCGCAATACCTCCATGAACAGACTCCCCTATTCAGCTCATCATGCTCGTTCAATTTAGCTTTCTTCGCGCTCATGTGCTCGTCAAATGAATTGGCTCAAGTCAAAGTCACGGGGATGATATGGAAACCGTCCCCCCACAAATTGGGCAGACGCCAGGTTGTGCCCTCTGGCGTGAAAAGCTTGGTTTTTGCACTCTTCTTTGGCTCCCGTCTTCCGCAGTTTGCCGTGGTGCGAAACGCAAGAATGGCCAGCCCAGTTTCGAGCATTCCAAGGAAACTCTCAGCTGTACTGTGGGACATTGATGGCACTTTAGTGAACTCGACTGCCCTGGCATGGACAAGCACCAACACCGTGCTCCAAGAGAATGGCTTCAAGGTGGTCTCCGAAGACGAATACAAGGAAGCCACACGGCTGACCACTCCAGCCAGGCTGGCGTTCCACGCCACCGGCGACCAAAACCATGAGGTTGGCTTGAAGTTGGCCAAAGAGTTCGATGATCACTATGTGGGACTCGTGTCCAAAGCGACCGTGCCGCTTGTCCCGGGACTGCAAGAAGTCTTGGAAACCTTGGAGAAAGATGGCCTCATACTGGGTGCTTTAAGCAACGCCTGCGGTGCATATGTCCGAGCTGTGCTGAAAGCACACAATTGGTCAGAGAGCTTCAAGACACAGTTGGGAGCCGATGAAGTCTCTGAGGCCAAGCCTGGGGCTGGAGGTTTGCTGAAGTGTTGCGAAGTTCTTCGGACCGACCCAAGTTCTACATGTTATGTAGGTGACTCACCAGGTGATGGCAAAGCCGCCAGAGCTGCAGGCATGTTTTGTGTCGGCGTGCGTTGGGGCGGCCAAGCAGAGGAAGGCCTGCGGTCGAACTTCGACGAAGTGGTTAGCACGGCAGACGAGCTGATAGCTGTCCTACGCAGATAGCGATTTGATTGCTTTTGGAGAAAAAGATGTCGACTACTAAGTACGGCAGGTGGACATAGTAGCTGGCACAGATCAGTCAAGAATGACTTGGTAGCTGTTGAAGGCTATGTCATGTTCATTTCATTAGCATTTTGGGACACTTGGCAACTTATCCATGCAGACGAAACCATCAGAAGCCATCCAGGTACGGCCTTGCTTTGTCTCCCAATCAGATCTCGGACTGTGAGCTGAAGGGATTGTGGAAGGACAGTTCTGACATTTTCAATATGCGACTGGGGGCTCCTGGCATCGCTACTAGGAGCAAGGGCCTCACTACTAGGAACAAGAAGCTAGTAGAAACAATATATAAATAGACTTTAATTAGTAATTAGTATCAAGATGGGTCCTGTGACCGGCAACCTGAGCTATTGTTTCGGTACGTAGATAGAAACCCTTGGATGACTTGCAAACCACAAGGTGGGGGGAAATTGCAGGTCAAATCAAATAGTCCTTTTGCTGAACAGGCTTTGGATGAGAATAAATCCAGCACCGTCTCTGTTGGTGCCTTTATCGTGCCGAGCTGGGCAATGTGGTTCACATGCGTTTTTTCATGTTATTCAATGTATTATGTATTGCGTGATGTATTATAATATGAGATGCTGCTGATGATGTCATCATGTGTGCTTATTTGCTCATTGGGACCTGAGAGCAACAAACAAGGTGTTCATGCGCCGCTACGGGGCCCTAAACTCCGGTCACAACTCGTCCAAGCAGAAGATGCTCAGTGTCTTGGCATTCAATACCAGTTCTTCCAGAGGAGGTTTGAGAATGAGAGAAGACACATCAATACACATCAATCGAGAACAATACAGGTTAAGGAAACATCGGTTTTGGCACCTGCAAAGTCTGAGGCCGTCAAAAAACATCCGTAAAGTGCAATATGCTCACAGGAAATCCCGATGTGATGTGATCTTGCCTGCAGGCAAAGGCAAGAGAAAGGGCTTTGGCGTGATGGCCTGTGAGAAATATTGTAGGTATACGCCGTATTACGCCGTTTTCTCTTCCACATCAGGAGCAAGCAAGTGGCAAGAGACACATCACTGGTATCACCACGGGCTTCTTGAAACCTCCGGTCTTGAGTCGATCTCTCTGCCTAGGTCAAGCTAGCACGATCTCTGCTCGGGCCCCCCAGTTCACAAGTTCTGTGTGAAAATATCATGAAGATATTCAGAAGATAGTTGAGAAGATTATCCAGAACATCTTCAAACAGTTTGTTTGGTGACGCCATGGCACACGGTCAAAAAACATACACTTGGCTTCCGCCATGACAGGAAGAGGAGGAGTGGCGGCAGTCCTTAGCCGAAGCTCCGGTGCCTAAGCTGAGTTGGTGGGCGAACGGCTCGGAAAGAACGTCAGTGGTGATCTGCTTTGCCGCAGTGTGGTTTCACCGGGAGTATTTGGTTCAGTCTGTTGGGCCAACTGATCACGAAAGCTAGCTGTAGCTAGCTGGAGTCTGTCTTGCTGGAGATGACCTGATATATCAGGACTACACCCCCCCCCCCCCCCCTCGCCCGGACCTGCTGCTGCTGCTTGGTCGCTGGGTCGCTGCTGCTGCTGCTGCTGGCATCTCATCTGCGCCTGGCTCTTGGCTGCTTGCTGGTTGCTGCTGCTTGCTGCTTCCATGCTTGCTGCTGCTGGATGCTGGCTGCCTGCTGCTTCTTGTATTCGTTAGAATCGAGAGTAGTTGCATTCCCTCTGAGTCATTATATCCGTAAGAAGCTTGTACAGGCATGTACCCACCCCACAACCACCAAGAGTACTAATCAGAATGCACTACCCGCTATCCCTGCAGATCAAAAGATGATACTTACCTTTCACATGAATGACAGAACCCAGTAAGATGTTCGAACGGGCTGTTTGCTTCACTCATGGACACATGTTCGCACGCAACCCCTAGATGTCAATCATGCAACCGCTGGTGGCTGCATCGTCAGCATTTCTTCGTGGAAAAACATATATATATATATATATCAGATATATCTGTCTTTCCGCGTCGGCCTTCTACAATTACTCAGGCAGCACCTTTATGTGCTAATGTTCGAGACCAAATGTTGGGGCACGAAAGACTCTAAGGAAAGCTCACTCTTTCCCTGGTGCTGCTGCTGCTGCTGCTTGGTAGCTGGTGGTGCTGCTTGGTAGCTGTTGCTTGGTAGCTGCTGCTGCTGCTGCTTAGTAGCTGCTGCTGCTGCTGCTGAGCTTGGTAGCTGCTGTTGATGCTGCTGCTGCTGCTGCTGCTGCTTGGTAGCTGCTGCTGCTGCTGCTTGGTAGCTGCTCCTGCTGCTGCTGCTGCTGCTTGGTAGCTGCTGTTGATGCTGCTGCTGCTGCTTGGTAGCTGCTGCTGATGCTGCTGCTGCTTGGTAGCTGCTGCTGCCGCTGCTGCTTGGTAGCTGCTCCTGCTGCTGCTGCTGCGGGCTGCTGCTGCTGCTGCTTGGTAGCTGCTGTTGATGCTGCTGCTTGGTAGCTGCTGCTGCTGCTGCTGCTTGGTAGCTGCTGCTGCTTGGTAGCAGCTGCTGCTGCTGCTGCTGCTTGGTGGCTGCTGCTGCTGCTGCTGCTTGGTAGCTGCTGTTGATGCTGCTGCTGCTTGGTAGCTGCTGTTGATGCTGCTGCTGCTTGGTAGCTGCTGCTGCTGCTGCTTGGTAGCTGCTGCTGCTGCTGCTTTGCTGCTGCTTTGCTTTGCTGCTGCTTTGCTTTGCTGCTGCTTTGCTGCTGCCGATTTGCTGCTGCTGCTGCTTTGCTGCTGCTGCTGGGCTGCTGCTTGGCTGCTGCTTGGCTGCTGCTTGGCTGCTGCTGCTGTTGCTTGGTAGCTGTTGTTGCTGCTGCTTGGTAGCTGCTGCTGCTGCTGCTGCTGCTGCTGCTGCTTGGTAGCAGCTGTTGCTGCTGCTGCTGCTTGGTAGCTGCTCCTGCTGCTGCTGCTTGGTAGCTGGTGCTGCTGCTTGCTAGCTACTCCTGCTGCTGCTTCTGCTGCTGCTTGGTAGCTTCTGCTTGCTGCCGCTGCCGCTGCTGGTTACAGTTATTGTTGTTGTGGTGCTGCGGCGGTTGCTGGGGTGGTTGTGTGTTGCCATGTGTTGGCTGTGTTGGGGTCGTATTGGGGGGGCGCTGTTGGCACTCTCCTTTTCCCTTGGCCATGGCATGTTGCGATTCCCGGCCAGGCTTTTGCTGCCTAAAGAGCTCCAGCGTTGTTTATTTGCCTAGCTTTCGCCACCCCCCTCCGGGCCACAAGTGAAAAGGCTGTCCTCAGCTAGGGGCCACATAATTTCATCCATTTATCTATATCTATATCTATATATATTATATATGTATGTGAGTGTGGGTATATACATATAAAAAAAGCGTGTGTGTGTGTGTGTGTCAGTGTCTCCGTTGCTGCTGCCCAGGCTTTAGACGCGCTGGCCTCAGAAATCTCAAGCGTGGGATCTAGCAGATGGCACATCTTGTTTCCATTGGAAGTCCCTCACGACTTGTAAGACAACGTTGCGTCAATTGTGCCCAAGCAACCTCCTGCCTTAGGCGAACCGATTAATGTCCCTTGCCACCGACCTTACGTTGGGAGCTTCAGCGGTGTCTGCACGCATGAGATTGACCTCAGACCACATGCATGAGCTGCACTTGAAGCCTCCTTTGGAGGTCGGTGTTTAGCTGTTGGACGTGCCTTTGCACCGAGGCTTGGTATTCACAACTGGTTCAACAAGCCGGGTGTCATGAAGCTCAGGGGCAGTTCTGTATCAGTTCATACTTTGTCGCAGAGTCAAGTTGATAGACCTCTGAGATACTCAGAGTAAAAATAGTGATACAGTAACATGTTGGGAATTGTTGTATCTACATTTTGGAGCCTGAGGGTGTTTGTTTATTGAGTTGTGGTTGAATGAAACACGGACACAGGCGTTTCGTCATGTTGCATCAACCCCTTGTAAGTTTTGCGTGAACTGGCTGAGCGTCATGAAAGCTGGCCCAGAAACGACGTCTTTGAGGGTGCTTGTCCAACTGTGACCTAGTATCGCTTCGGGTACGACGCATGCGCCGAGTCTTTTGGACTGCTCGGCACTCCATAGACACCACGCTTCTCCTGGCTAAGGTAGACAAAGCGGCTTTTGCTGGGACTCAATTGTGGCCCAAGTTCGTTGAAGCCGGCAATGAGACCTCCAGGCCGGAGCCGCAGAATGATGGAATTCCCAAAATCATCGTTACGAAAAAGCCAGCCTTCGTAGAAGGTGCCAGCTGAGTTGTGCTTGGCGAACGAAGTGAGTAGTTAGGGGGTCTGGCCCGCAAAAGGTACATGTAAACTCGGCACATGCTGGGGGAGGAGGGTGGACGGATGGAAGGTTTTTTGAGGTTGTGTTGGAGGTGATTTTTGAGGGGTGGTGATGCAAGAAATGCACTTTGCATCATTTGCATCATCTAAATGGTAAGGTGTAGTTGGCACCTTGCCAGGTATAGAATGGTATAGATACCCAGGGTAGCTATAGTGCAGTTAGCAGGTATAGTACTTCAAGTTCCCTTTCCATCAACCGCTCGATAACCTTTACACACGCACAGCAATCCACAGCTTTGAAGTCTCATTCTTGCATTGAACTTATATATGTGTGTAAGAGGTATAGCAACATAGCATTCATACGGACCCAGGGTAGCTACAATTCTGTTGCCAGGTATCCCACTTCAATTTTCCCTACCCTGGGGACCCTGGGTCCGCGCAACTCAGGGTATACCTGGCAAATGCCTTGTAGCTGCCCTGGCTCCCCAGGGTAGGGAAATTGAAGTGGGATACCTGCAAACAGAATTGTAGCTACCCTGGGTATCTATACATGGCACGGCGCCAGCTGAGTAAGAAGGGGGGTTCGGGGGGGTGGCCTGAGAAAGCACACTCGAAAGTAGGTGGTGTGTAGGGGTGCACTTAAGCAAGGTTTTGGAGGTGCTTTTTGGTGATTTTAAGAATCCTTTTGATTTTAATCATTGGACCTTGTTGCGCGCGAATGA